TAAACTGGGAAGAACAGCTAGAAAATGCAAACCTGAACCAGTGCGTGGAAAAAAAATAAGCTCAGTAGCACTAGAAACTTGTTCAAACCGCATACTCCTAATAAAAAAAAAAAAGGAGATGCAGATTGGAACGGGAACGTCGTTCCCTCTATAGGCGAAGAAAATGAATCGCAGAACAACTTGAGAATCGCACCCTATCTCAAGAACGGTGAAGAAGGTTAGGTAGAGATATAGAAACAATTGAACTCTAGTTACAAGAATCATACAAAATCCAGGAGAGGCAGAGAGCAAAAGGCCATCAGTGAAAGAGAAATCCGAAATATTTTTTCCTCGTATGCAAAATCAAGATCAAAAACCATTAGTATCGGGCCCCTGCGAAAGGGAGATGGAACTTTCACCGATGACAACAAAGAAATGAGCGAGTTACTGAGGAAGCAGTACGACTGTTTTCAGAGAGCCACTAAACACACTAAGATTGAGAACCCAAATAAATTTTTCATGGATGATACCAACATCAAATCATATATCAGACGTCACCCTATCCCCACTAGATTTTGAAGAAGCCATAAACAGTATGCTTATGTACTCTGCACCAGGCCCGGATTCTTGGAACTCCATATTCATCAAGAACTGTAAAAAACCACTATCGCAGGCCCTTCACATTCTTTGGAGACAAAGCCTAGATACTGGCGTTATTCCCGACATACTAAAAACAGTAGAGATAGCACCACTCCATAAAGGTTGGAAATAAGGCAGAGGCAAAAAATTACAGACCGATAGCACTAACATCGCACATTATAAAAGTCTTTGAGTGCGCGCTAAGTAGTAAGATCACAAAATATATGGAATCACAGCATCTCCATAACCCCGGACAACATGGTTTCAGAACAGGGCACTCTTGCCTGTCACAGTTGCTGGACCACTATGACATGGCATTAGATGCCATGGAAGACAAACAAAATGTTGATGTAATTTACACAGATTTCGCAAAAGCCTTTGACAAATGTGACCATGGTGTTATTGCACATAAAATGCGCTCAAAAGGAATTACCGGAAAAATAAGCAGATGGATCTATAATTTCCTGAGTAACAGAACCCAATGTGTAATAGTCAAAATAAAATCCAGCCCATCAACCGTGAAGAGCTCAGTTCCCCAGGGTACTCCAGTACTTTTTCTCATTCTCATATCGGACATAGACAAGGACACAATCTATAGCACTGTATCATCCTTTGCAGATGACACGGATTTATATGAGTAGGCAACAGAGGACACGGCAAACCTCCAATCAGATGTAGATCAAGTTTTTCTGTGGGCTACAGAAAATAATATGGTGTTTAACGAAGACAAGTTCCAGCTCAGGCGCTACGGAAAAAAAATGAAATATAAAAACGGAAACCACGTACAAAACTCAGGCAAATCATAACATAGAACGAAAAGGCAATGTAAAGGATCTGGGTGTACTCATGTCGGAAGACCTTACCTTTAAAGAACACAAAGTAGCCGTCACAACTGCAAGAAAAATGACAGGTTGAATAACAAACTTTTCACACTAGAGATGATATACCGATGATACTTTTCAAAACGCTTGTGCTCTCTAGAGTGGAGTACTGCTGCACAATGACAGCCCCCTTTCAAAGCTGGAGAAATTGCCGACCTGGAGAGCGTGCAAAGATCCTTTTCTGCTAGAATCCATTCAGTAAGATATCTAAACTACTGGGACCGACTAAAGAGCCTAAATCTATTCCCTTGAGCGCAGGCGGAAGAGATACATAATAATTTACACGAGGAAACTAAAGTAAGTGCTGGTCCCAAACCTGCACACAGAAATATCACACGAGATCAGGAGGCATGGCAGGATGTGCAGAATAACCCCCGTTGAAAAGCAGAGGTGCAACGGGTACTCAGAACTCATCAACATCAGACGCCCGAGACTGTTCAACACGCTTCCACTACTCATAAGGGGCATAAATGGCAGACCCCTCAGTGTTCAAGAGAACTGGATAAACACCTCCAAATGATACCTGATTAATCAGGCTGTGATTCGTACGTCAGACTGCGAGCAGCCGCGTGCAACAACCTGGTTGATCAGTCCAGCAACCAGGAGGCCTGGTCGACGACCGGGCCGCGGGGACGCTAAGCCCCGGAAGCACCTCAAGGTAACCATTTGCGAATAATCTTTCCACTATTGCTCAGTGGTTTAGTAGATGGGGGTTCATAATCAACTAAAGAGTAAAAACTGTAAATGCGACCGGCAGAGCAAGAGTCAAAAGGCGCAGAGCAATGTGGGGCAAGACACGGTGACAGCTAGTGGACGTATAATTTAATTAGGGTTAACAGTTTGTCCATATAGGCCTACATAATCTTGTTGCACACCACTCATTGATAAGATGTTACAAGGGGTACCGCAGGCAACCTAAATTAATATTTCCCCATAATAAATTATATTATGAACAAAGAAAAAAACAGTTACCACTTACACCAGTTCATAACTTATCTTTCGAGTTTGTCATAATGTATTCTATGGTCTCCATCCTAATGACGCCTGTATTTTAGGGATAATTCCCCGAATAATTTCTAGGTATACACCCATGGGCGCAACAACCTACTTAACCTACCCCTACTTAAATCTCTGAATATGTTAGACATTAAGTCACTGCACATTCTCTCATGTGTATTATACATATATAAAACGCTAAACTATAATGCCAATCCTGATCTCAAAAGCTTCATAGAAGGTTGTATCAGAACCCATGAGCATCACACCAGAAATAAATACAGTTTTGATATTCCTAGAGTACGACTTAATCAAACTAGAAATGCTCTACAAATCAAGGGGCCCAGAATGTGGAATGACCTTCCCAACCATGTTAAAGACTGTACCTCTCTCAACCAGTTTAAGTTAAAAGCGAAGCTATACCTAATAAATTCCCTGTAACCTACCTTACCCTTCTATTGTCAACCAATGTCTGTTTTTTTCTTTAAAGAGCGCTGTTTGTCGACATAATTGTATTTGTGCTGCTTTTTCATCTATGTTTTCATTCTACTCATTATGCTCAATTAGTATTAAGCTTGTCATTTAAGTTTATCATGCCCGAAACGCTTTGCGTAATAGTGGCTTTAGGCATTGTATGTACTAGCTCTACCTACAAGTCAACCAATCCTTGTAAAAATTTATTGTATGTATGTACCTTACCTAAATAAAATTGTATTGTATTGTAACCCGGCCTGTATGGAAGAATGCCTCGCTACACCTTAGAGAACAGGGGCGCTCCGTATCCACCTCCCCGAGCGGGACCTGCCACGCCCACCTGCTTCAACACCCTGCCACGCCTACCTACACTACCTAACCCGAGAATACACTCCTAACACGTGTTACGGCCTCAGTTTGATAAACTGAGTAACAATCAACACAAGCGAGCACATCAACTAGATTATCAAAACTGCAAAATGCGTTGTTTAGCTCAACGTATTTCAGGGTTTAGCACCTCAGCTAGCCCATTATGTGCAGGTAATACCAGCATTATCCTCACTTTAATAAGACTATCAAAATCCTCAGATTAGGCAAAATTGTAATTAATTTTGTCAATAAAGATGTTAATAATATAAAGTGTTTAACCCTACCTACTACCACTCTTAAGACTGGTATGGGGTGCACAATGAAGCAAACCCCCCAACGATTCAAGCACTAGTGTGTGAAGTGGGGCTCCTGAAGCAGTCACATCTTGTTTGGGTGGGAGAGCACGGATTAGTTGGACAACCTATTAGCTGGGAATATTCAGTGCTGAGACGGACACCACCACAGCGTAAGCTACATTAACGGAATTCTCTTACACATTTACAGCTTTACGAGTGTACACGCCGTCAGCAGCACCCGCGACCCGGCCACCAGGGAGCTGACAGCCACCGTCAGCAGCACCCGGCCACCAGGGAGCTGACAGCCACCGTCAGCAGCACCCGGCCCGGCCACCAGGGAGCTGACAGCCACCGTCAGCAGCACCCGGCCACCCGGCCACCAGGGAGCTGACAGCCACCGTCAGCAGCACCCCACCAGGCCACCACCGTCAGCAGCACCCGGCCACCAGGGGCCAGCTGACAGCCACCGTCAGCAGCACCCGGCCACCAGGGAGCTGACAGCCACCGTCAGCAGCACCCGGCCACCAGGGAGCTGACAGCCACCGTCAGCAGCACCCGGCCACCAGGGAGCTGACAGCCACCGTCAGCAGCACCCGGCCACCGTCAGCAGCACCCGGCCACCAGGGAGCTGACAGCCACCGTCAGCAGCACCCGGCCACCAGGGAGCTGACAGCCACCGTCAGCAGCACCCGGCCACCAGGGAGCTGACAGCCACCGTCAGCAGCACCCGGCCACCAGGGAGCTGACAGCCACCGTCAGCAGCACCCGGCCACCAGGGAGCTGACAGCCACCGTCAGCAGCACCCGGCCACCAGGGAGCTGACAGCCACCGTCAGCAGCACCCGGCCACCAGGGAGCTGACAGCCACCGTCAGCAGCACCCGGCCACCAGGGAGCTGACAGCCACCGTCAGCAGCACCCGGCCACCAGGGAGCTGACAGCCACCGTCAGCAGCACCCGGCCACCAGGGAGCTGACAGCCACCGTCAGCAGCACCCGGCCACCAGGGAGCTGACAGCCACCGTCAGCAGCACCCGGCCACCAGGGAGCTGACAGCCACCGTCAGCAGCACCCGGCCACCAGGGAGCTGACAGCCACCGTCAGCAGCACCCGGCCACCAGGGAGCTGACAGCCACCGTCAGCAGCACCCGGCCACCAGGGAGCTGACAGCCACCGTCAGCAGCACCCGGCCACCAGGGAGCTGACAGCCACCGTCAGCACCACAACCTACGTCAGGACATTTTCAAACGCGCCTCCAGGCGGTCTCGCACCAGCATCGAGGATAAGACATGGGATCAATACTACCAACTCCGATTATCAAATATTTTCTGACGTGATCTTCGGGTCTCGAGGCTCACTAACATCTTACCTTGGACTGAGCCTCAGCGGCAAGTCCTGACTTAGTAGCACGGCTCATAATGCAGTAGTGGGAGGAGAGAGTACGACACTGCGTGTATGCACACTGAAGGTCTGGGGGCAACTGATGGTGAGCGGCCGCGACTCGCCCTTTTACCTCACACTACGCGAACGCTCATTGGCTGCCGCTGACGTCATTTTTATTTTTTTTTCTTAGTTAATGTGACTTATTTATATATGTTGCCGGATACGCATTAAATTACACACAAATGTTGACAAATGCTGCTGTCGTTCCCTATAAAGTGTACTCATCACCAAGTAGTGATCATACGGGCCACATGCAGACGTCCCGCTGCCGCACAATAAATAGCCTTGACAAATATAATCTAATATATCTAGAGGTTATCTTGAGATGATTTCGGGGACTTAGCGTCCCCGCGGCCCGGTCCTCGACCAGACCTCCTGTTTGTTACACATCCCCAGGAAGCAGCCCGTAGAAGCTGTCCAACTCCCAGGTACCTGTTTACTGCTAGGCGAACAGAGGCATCAGGGTGAAAGAAACTCTGCCTCCGCCGGGGATCGAACACGGAACCTTAGGACTACGAATCCCGAGCGCTGTCTACTCAGTCGTCAGGCCCCTAAGGCTAATATAGTAATTATATTAGGAGAAAATACTTATTTCTTGGATTAAACAACGAAAGACTTTCTTCTATTGATATATCCAGATAATATATGAGATGGTTATAGGTACTGAAACTGTTCTTTCTACGGTATATTACCGATTTATATAACAACAACTATTTATATTATTACGAGGCGCTACCCGGCGTTGCCCGGGTCTGTGTGTATCCAGCCATCTATTCATCTTTCCATAAATATGTCAGTTCATCTACCCACCTCTCCTTCTATCCATACATTGTACATCTATCTATCCCTCCGCCCTATCTCTATCCAACTGTCTATCAATCTATCTATACATCCAGCTATCTATGCATGTATCTGTCTGTCTGTCCGTCTATCCATCCATCTATCCATCCATCTATCAATCCATCTATCCTTCCATCTTTCTATCCATCCATCTACTTATCTACCCATCTACTCAGCTAACTCTCCATTCATCCATCTAAGTCCTCCCCACTTCTCCCCAACTCCCGCCCCTCCGCCCCCCACTCCTCGCCCTTCACACTCACCCCTCCCTCCCTCCCTCCCTCCCTCCCTCCTTCCCCTCGTACCCCTTTTCCCATCACCCAGTCCCTCCCCCCATCACCCAGTCCCTCCCCCCATCACCCAATCCCTCCATCACCCCCTCCATTACCCATTCCCTCCCCATCACCCAGTCCCTCCCCCCATCACCCAGTCCTTCCATCAACCCACCATTACCCATTCCCTTCCCATCACCCAGTCCCTCCATCACCCCCCCATTACCCATTCCCTTCCCATCACTCACTCCCTCCCCCATCTCCCAGTCCCCCCCTCCCCCAGCGGCTTAGCCCCTCTTTCGTAAAATATTACGTAATGGTAAGGAGGAATAAAACTACTTTATGTGTTTAAGGAAATAATTTTTTCTGATGGTGAAAAAGTCTTGGGTCACCTCCCCAATATTTCTCAGTTGACCAGCATTGTATCCGTGAGAAATGGATGATGGGGGGGGGGAGGGAGGGAATAATTAATAATACGTCTTACATCATTTAACTTCGGCCTACCCCGACCAGCCTATGTTCGTCCCCAACCCCAGAACATATATCATGCCAATTTTGGTAAGGTCAGCTATGTCTGGCCTCCAACTTTGAACAGACACACATTCTCTCCTATTATATAGAAAATCATTATTATTATTATTATTATTATTATTATTATTATTATTATTATCAAAGAATACATTGTCTAGCTATATACATATACACATAATACAAATGTACACATACACTCAATCTCCCACAACACACTTCCCACAACACACACAAACTCCCCAACACACAACCTTGCTCAACACTCATTGTTGAGTTAGGTTAGGCTAGTTTGGGTTAAGTTGGATAAAGTTAGGAAGGTTTTAAGTCCGTTAAGTTTTGGGTCCACTGTGACTTGTATGCGAACAGAAGTGTCAGGGTTCGTATACCAGAGGCTGGAGCTCGTCGACACATAACTATGGTATGATATTATCACGTGAGTGACGACACACTATCACACAGGGGCGAAATAGATTAGATTAACTCAGTGGGAATCATGCTGAACTGATTTGCTTTTCACAGCAGCTGATTGAAGATACGAGCTCGTAATGGATGTGATATAAATGACATGCGTGTAAATGTGTGAAAAGTATATACTAAAGGAGTGATATAATTAACATATATTAAATCTAAGACAGAAAGAAGCTAACTGGCAGCTTAAATATGTTGCAAAGGGGAGGAAATTAAATATAAAAAGACCTCATTTATAAGAGACATGACTACCAGTTACAATCGGGGGATCCCTGGTTCGATTCCCTTGAGGGACAGAAATGGTTGAGCACGTTTCCTTCACCTAATGCCTCTGTTCACCTAGCAGTAAATAGGAATAGGAGTTAGGCAAATGTTGTGAGATTGCATACCGGGAGGCAGGTGTTCGGCCCTGGAGACCTCGATACAAGCCTAAAGTATATAATAAATTTTCTCGGGGACAGGAAGGCTGTGTATATAAGTAATATAGGTTTAAATCTAGGTCCCAACTCCACACCCCCACCCGACTGGCTTCCAGTCCCCAACAACGGGAATTACTGTATTATTATAACGAAATTTCAGAAAATAATAAACGGAATCCTAGTGAATAATTTAATATTGTGATAAGTTAGACGTAAGAGGCGTCACGCAGAGACTAACGGTGGACAACAGTTGTGCTGAAACACGAAGAAATGCCCCAAATCTTAGTTAAAATTCTAGTTTGTATTTGATACTGAAGAATCATTTGAGGAGAGGAAACATGGGAACTAACAAGCTCTTACAACAAATGGAGAAAAGTTATTCGAGTGATAAAGTTATTTCAAACATTATCAATAAATAAAGTACCAAGACAATAACAAATATCCTACTTGTTATGAGAATGTGTTGAAGAACTAAGCTGTCCCCTCCAGACAGTCTTCAACACTTCCCTGCTGGAAGGAAGAATACCAACAATAACGAAGACATGAATAGATTAAAAATATTGAAGGAAATGAGAAACTGAATTCTCACTTTCTCATTATCAATATTCTCTCTGGTATTGAGCAAAATACCTAGGAGAATCACAAGGGAAATGGGGATAAAGAATGTGCAAAGTCTTTCCAGTCCCTTTGAACTCCAAAGTAATCTGGAGTCTGGTATAGAAAATTATGTGCGTGGAATGTGATGCACATAGTTTAATGGGCATCAAACTCACTGTTTTCATGACAATGATCGATATTCATGACAATGTTTCAAGAAAGTGATGGATGAGCAAAGTGCATACTGACGAATCTGAAAGTTCATGTGCCACATTGAAAGCAAATTTGGAAAATAACAAATATTGTCATAACTTAGGCTCCTCAGCTGGATGAAACATTTCCTTAATGAGTGGTCAATACGACCAGCAGTGAGCAGACAATATTCATTATAGAGAAAAGTTCCAGGTGGAGTAACCAAACTATTGTTGTAAGCGCCACATGTGTTTCTAGTGTATATACATGACTTAACGCAATAAACCACTATATGAGCATGTTTGTTGATGACTATAAAATAGGTAGAGAAACTTAGAATCAGGAAGATTGTGTCTTACAGTAAGTCGTGTATGGGATGCTCGGTTGGAGAACAAAATGACTTGAGGTACTGAGTGTAGACAAGCGCCTGGTGCACAGACTGGGGGATTCTAAACCCTTCGAGACAAGCAGAGGATCTAAGAACAACGACAAATACCAAATTGAATTACACACACACAGAAATCACAATAGCGTAATGCATCATGCTGTTTAAGGCAGCGTCTGGGATCCTCTCGGACGTAGGTTCGAACCCTCGTCACGGTCCTTGTGGATTTGTTCATTTACCAAACTGAAGTTATCTCGAGCTTCCATACAATGCTGGCACGCTTTAGGATGACATTCATATGTATATGAATGGATAAGTTATAAGTAACGTATTTGTACCATTCACCAGACTAAAGTTGAATATGGAGAGTTGGTGTGTTGTGTTCACCTGAAGGAACACATCACCGGTGAAGTGAACCGTAAACAAGGTGAGTATACAACTGTAGAAGACAGCAGAAGACACCACACCTTTTATAAGTGCATCAAGAACTATGAAAAATGTGGATAATGGTCATTTTATAACTGAATCTGCATGTATGAGGACCAGACAACATTCTGTGCCATCCCGCAGATGCTGACCTAGTAACTGCTGTGTTCTGATATCACCTTCACATCTATATTGTTGTAAATCTAATTGTTTATTTGTGCGAGATTCTGTGAGACGTTGGTGTCTGTATTTCTGCTACTGGTTGACACTTGTTGCCTCTTCATCTGCAGCATTATGTCCTAATATTCCTCGAGGACTTGGTACATAGTAATAAATATTTGTAATTCTTGTTGCTTTAGTACTGAATGTTGGTGATCAGTTTGAGTGTTGCTCCGTGCGTGCTTTTGTTGTAAACTGCCTCGAGGCGCAGCTCGGGGCTCACCTGTTGCGGTGATTCGTGTGTGCACCATAGAGGAAGTATTGAGTAGGGTCTCATGCCTGAGAAAGTATGCTCTACTTTTTGTCATCGCTACTCTAAAAACATATTTATTTATTTATTTATTTATTTATTTATTTATTTATTTATTTATGCATATACAAGAATGTACATAAGGAATGTGAGGATACAAATATGGTAATTACAGTCTTGTAAAGCCACTAGCACGCGCAGCGTTTCGGGCAGGTCCTTAATCTAAGAAAATTTTAAGGAGGTAAATACTTGCAAAATTTATAGACAAAAAAATGATAACAGTTACATGAAATTAAAAAAAAGAAGATGAGAGAAAATTGTAGGTACATAGGTAGCTAAGATTGATTGCAATGACAGCTTGAATGGTAGTTGACAACAAATTGGTAGGCACAATACAGCAGAAACAATATAAGATTGATTGCAATGACAGCTTGAATGGTAGTTGACAAAAATTGGTAGTCACAATGCAGCATATGGCTAGCAC